CTAGATTGAAGAACAAAAACGACAGCAACTTGTCTGTTCCCCTTCCCCCAATTCCCCAGCACTGTTCCCATCCCCCAATTCCCCAATAAAAATCTTTTTAAAAAAAACAAAAAAAACCCCCAGCATTTTAACAACCTACATGATCTTCTGTGTGTAGTAGCAATCAGTATTAATTGTAATATTGCATATCTTGAAGAGTAGTAAAAAATGCAAATGTGCCTCTTCAGAAAGAAACCTATAGGAAATAAACCTATAGAAAAAAAGAACATTTTTTCAAAACTTCACAAATTAAAAAACAAAACAAAACAAAAAAAACAATGACACTGGAATATGAGCTTTACAAGGCAGGAGTTTTTGTTGGTTCTGTGCTCTGCTACATCAGCAGCGTCTAGAACAGGACCTGGCACATAGCAGATGCTCAATAAATACATGGTGAATGACTGTTTTAACAATAAAGTTTGATTATAAATTTAAGATATTAGAAGTGCCCCTGACAGGCAATGGATCAAATGGAAACTAAAAACCTAGATAAAATTTTGCATTTTAAATTGACCCTGACAAAAAAATGAATAAACTTAATATTTCTTTTCAGTTTACAACTGGTTATTGTTGGTTTGAAACACAGTCAGCCTCCAGTTGAGAAACATCAAGTATTTGGATATATTTTAGTATATAAAATTTTATAGTATACCTATCAAATATTATACCAGTCTACAGATCACAGCTTTCTCATCCCTGCTTACAATCCTTGGTATCTATTATTGTCTAATATTCTTTTAATTGCATGTAACAGAAAGCAAATTCCAACTAACTTAAGCAGAAAACAGGGGAGTGGATGGAGATTTACTGGAAGAGTTCTGGGGTGGCTGATGGGCTTAAAGAACAACCAGTTCAGGGGACTTTCGGAACTAGAAGGAAAGTCTGAGTCATCAGGACTGTCTCTTTCTGAATGTCTGCTTTATTCTCTCACTTCTTTTCCATGAGGTTGTAATCAAGGTTGCCAACATCATCAGACTCCTCCTATCTACCTCTCCTGAGAGGAAGTTTGTTTTCATAGACCCAATTAGAAAGATCCCAGGGAAGGATGCCAACTGGTTCAGCTTGGGTGACACTCCTGTCTCATGGACCAATCTCTGTGGCCAGGGAGGGAGAGTGGGTCACAGGAGGATTTGGCAGCTCCCCTTCAGAACATGTCAGCAGTACGGACAAGGTAGATCAGCTTTCCAAAAGAGCGGCGGGCATTCTCAGATGAGAACGAATGTCGTTCACAATGAAAACTAAAGCTCCTGTTTGAAGTCATCAGACACAGACCGCCTTCTGTGGATTGGTCCTACAAGGCTTCCCACTTTCAAATTCTGGGCTCACACAGCCTGTTACTTAAGGATTCTTGTTGTCCAGAGACTAGTTAACTGAATTATTAAGATCTGCATTATTAAAATGAGATAACAGTCTCAACTGAATTAAAAAGGCAAAGATAATATTAGTATCTTTCTTTAAGAGATCAAAAGCACTTTCATCAAAACTTAGTAAGGCCAGGATAGCCTGATGGACTGATGAATAAAAATTTCCTCCGTTTTACCAACTGGAAACTAAAGCCAGATTTCCCATCTAACATCTCAGTTGGTGAGGAACTAGATTGGTTTCTAGACTAATGTGTTTCACGTTAAAGACGGGTGTCTCAACAAGTAAGTGCAACCCACAGACCAGTGTTCAATATTTGGCTTTACTTTATAAAAATACACAACTTAAATACATGTGACACTCTCTATACAAGACATAATCAACTGTTAGATTTAACATTTTCAGTTACTTCACCAGAAAGCAAATATGTAAATTACCTCGTAAGAGCAAAGGGTTTCTTTAGAGACTGCATTCACAGTCAAAGGGACTAACGCCCCCGCGAGCAATCAATGCGGGAAGCTAACCTACACTGTCCAACTTTCCGACAAGTCATTTCACCAATTTCACCAACAGGGCCTTTATTAATGGCCCAATATTGCACGGCTTGGCAGACACAATCTGATGGACCCACATCACGGGTTTAAGCTTTTGTCTTCTCTAGAGATGCTTAATGGAAAAACCAAGGTACAAACAGTATTGACTGTGTCTTACAATTGTGCTAAATACCAATCACCAGAAGTATGAACCTCTCTTCACTTTGCAAAACTTGCAATGGAAGGTGGTGAGTTATCTTTTGCAGCCAAATTCCTTTCAAAAGTTTCACAAAAACGTTGGCAGGCTCAGAGTGAGTTAGATGGAGTACAGTGGGGAAAGGAGTGACATCCCAGCGCCCACTAAAGTTACTTGTAAGAAGGGCCCTGTCACTGTCAAAGGCAATGTGTGCACGGCCCCACCCTTGACACGAAGCACTTTCCTCCCCCTCCAGGCTGTGTTGCTGTTCTGTGAGGAACAGCTGCTTCATGTCTGATGGGGCCCGCTTGCTCTGGCTTTCTTTCAGAAATCTAGCTGCCTTATCTATGGCTCATTTAACTAACAGTGAATTAGGTACTAGTTTATGGATATAAAGAGATATTTACCAGTTGAGAATTCAATGCATGAGAACATACTAAAGTGAGTTTCCTGAGGTAAATGTGAGAATAGGTGCAATCTGTAGAATTAGAGCAACTTATCTTGGGTGGCGGCACAATATGAAGTTAACAGGCAAACAGAACCAAGGACACATTTATGTGAAGAAATGAAATGACAATGCTGAACTGAAAGAAATGTTGACAGCTGAGCATATCAATTGAAAAGGAGGCATGAAAGGGGAACAGAGGAACAAACGGAGGGTGTATTTTAAAGTGCTTAGGTAGGTTGGACCAATGAATCTGAAATGCCTCCAGGGATTTCTAAAAAGTTTTAAAAGTGTTAATTCTTCATGACTCATATATGGAAGAAATGGCTTTTCTTTAATAATAGCTGTTCAAACTTTTCTTTTTTGAAACACAAGATTCTCTATAAAATTTTTTTTTAGCCATTGGAAGTACTCTGCTAGTTGCTATTCTCGCTGATGTATTTTGAAATCCTAAGTGGCTGGATAATTTTATTAAGCTTGAACTACAAAGTACATATGTGCATCAGGAAGTTAAATTACAGAGGTCTGTAAAGTTTTGTATGAAGTTAAGTACCAAAAAAATTTTCACTGCAGGTGATGCTTATCTTCAAGGATTATGGCAATCAGAAAAATTCTAGGACCCTGAAACTTAACTTACTCCTCTTCTTTCTTTTACATAAATGAAGTAGTGCATGGCCAGCCTTAACATTAACAATGAAGGTGCTGGGAACTGCATCCTAAGACCTAACAATCAAGATCAGGCTGAACTTCAACAAATCACTGACTATGTAAAGATATGAATGGAAGCTCTAAAGAACTCTCTTTGCTGTAATTGCTCATCTGTACAATGTAGTTGGTGAGGTGACCAACCTTGTGTTTAATAACAGTGATGAAAACTGGCACCAGCTTGTTATACACGGCCACGTACCCATGCCAGTTGGGGCTGACACTACCATGCAGGATCCTCCATTCATATGACTCCTCAATTTTGTTGCAAAAACAGATCAATATTTAATTACTTTAGGCATGAGGAAGGCCTTAAGCAAAATTTAGGTACAAAAGAACTTTGGGTTGGAGTTCTGCAGTCCTAAGGAGCTAGTTAAAATTAAGAGGCTAGTAGAAAACCCCATAAGAGATCGGTATTTCAGATCTCAATTCTTAAAAAAGAACACTTTCAGTATCACCAAGATTAGGAAATAATGCTGTGGTTTCCCGACAACAAACTCAATGCAGCTCAAAGGCAGCCACACAAAGGAAAGCTGCTTTGGACAGGAGAAGAATCCAGAAGACAGCGGCGGGCTTGGATCAAATGAACCGCAGCTTTTCTTCTTAGGTGATAAGGTATGCGCTAATGGGCGATCAATATGCGATAGCTGTTTAAAATTCACAGACAGTAGTAACATTTTATATGCTTTAAAGCCCTAATTAGTGCAGAGTGGTCACAGCTGAAAATACGAGCATCATGATGAGAGTCACGCACTGAGAACGGCTCCATAGGCTGAAAGGAAGGCCAGTTCTCACATCTGATCTTCATTCATCCCTTGAAGACCGAGAAGGAGACTATGGCAAGAGAATGTATTTCTCTATATGAAATTAATTTTCATAATCTGTAGTTTAAAAGTACTACTATGCAGAAATTTGGAATCCAAGAAATATTACGGAGATTCCTCCCCCACAGGCCGAGCGATCTCTCCCTCCGCCACCACCCAAATGATCCATTCTTGTCTCTGGTCAACCAGGCCCAGGTCAAGGCTTGTAAGGGAGGATTGAGGAGGCGGTGGCTGGAAGCCAGGGATTCAAGAAGAGAGAAATGGTGGCAGAATATATATATATATAGAAGAGGGAGAAAAACAGGGAGCTGACACTGACGAGGAAGTGAAGAGGGAGCCTGGCTTGTGGAGAAGCACCCCTGCCTTTCCTACTATCTGGGAAAATAATGCAGAAACAAGAAAATGCATTAGCCTCATATGGCGGGGGCTCTCCTAGGGCATCAAATTGCCCGAGCCAGGCTGGCCAGGCCTTCTGAGGATGTGTGGACAATCTAGCATGACCTGCAAGCACTTCTGTTTTGGGTCTGATTCCTGATTCCTAGGTGACGATGCTCCCTACAGCTACCAGCACCTATTTCCACAGCTAAAGAGAGGCCTCAGATCCAGGGGCAGGATTAGCAGCAGCCAGTGGACCCAGAGTGGCTGCCAACGCCTTTATTCTCTTAGGACTGGCTTGTCTCTCCGCTTGGTGGTTGGAGAAGGAGAATAGGGTGAATGTCATAAAGGGGCTGCTCAACTCAGAATTGTATCGACTTGTTTCCCAAACTTCCAAAGGGCCGCTAAGAATTCATTAATTTTAGATGAATGGTTAAAATACCACCTAAGGAACTCATTCTGAAAGGAGCGACCTGCTTATGAGATCACACCAAACCTCCAGGGGTTTTGAGATTGTCTGCTTCTGTTTTTGTTGTTTTCCTCTCTGGTGATGAATTTTAAAAAAAGAAAAACTGAAAGGGTCCCCTTGTCCTGCCTCCCTCCAGAAATCTCATGGACTTTCCTGAGTCTTCACTAAAGGAACTTACAAATGAATCGGGGAAAAAATAAATCAATTTGGAAATATGAAATGAACCGTAGTGGATAAATGGTGCTTGGTTCTCTTCACTTCATCTCTCTATGAAATGGTAACAGGCACCTGAATTATTGATTTACAAATAACAACACATGAGTGAAAAGAGCAGTAAATTTTTGCGGAGGAAATAAAATCCATGTTGGCTCTTTTACCTCTAGGGAAAGTCTGTTTGCACTGGAGGCCCACCCTCGTCTTTTTTCCTACGTTCTACTTGATATTTTTCAGGAGGGCTGTTCGGGCATTCACAACTGCTTTGAAGGCATCTTCACTGCCAGGTGCTACGCATTTGTCAGGGTGAAGCAGTACAGCGAGCTTCCGGTACGCCTTGTTGACTTCATCCCTACGAAAAGAAGCAAAGCTCTGTCAGTAACAGGGCCAGCCCCACACACTGCATTTAGCTGTATGGATAATGCAGTAGCTCTTGCAGTAAGCAGATCCCAAATATTTACTATCCTTTCTAAAGGTGGGACTAAAGGACTAGGAAACAAGCAAACAACAGACAAATAAATAATACATAGCATACAAGTAGGAGAAAGGACAATGCAAAGTGAGTATATAAACGCTAAGAAAACACTTGGTAAACAAATGATCAGATGGAAACAGACAGTACTTGGCACCTAGGGGGCACTCAGCAAGTCTGTGCTGACTGAGGTAGCGAGGGCATGGGGAGATCAGGGCAGGTCCCCTGGCGGAGGGTTCCGCAAGGTGGGGCTTGGGGATTAACACAGGGGTGGGGAAATACACAGCAGCTGGGAGAAAACTGGCAGAGACTGGGAACAGCGCATGGACACAGCATGTAGTTCCAAGAGGAAACCGCTAGGAAGCACAAGAAACAAAACGAAGCTGGCCAGGGAGGAGGGGTCAGTAAGTGAAAGACAATGAAGGCAAAACGGCAGACAAACTGGATTTGACAAACAGTAACAACAGCAGGTGTTTCGTGACAAAAATGGTGCTGGGAACGCTGTTTCTTGAAGTTAGGAGACAGGTAGGAGGTTGCTACCATACCCCAAGCATGAGTACAAGAGTTTAGATGACGGTGTTTGTGGAAGGGAAAATAAACAGTATGAAGAAAGAAATTACACAGGTGTATAAGGTATAAGAAAAAGGGCTGAAATGAGTTCCAGGGTCATGGAGAATTTGAGGCCCCGGGAAGATGGTGACACCAACGACCAAGAAAGGGACATGGAAAGGGGTACCTGAGAATTACATACAGTGAGCTCCCTGAGACCAAAGAAACAAGAGAGAAATGAATATTATCCAGAGAGGAAAGAAGCAATAACAATAAATGTTTCTCCAAAGACCCTCTGAGCTCCTCCCCGAGCACAGACTGGTTGGGAAGGGGCCTGGAGGCCACTTGTCCCTACAAGTCTCCCTGTTCTTCACTGTCCTCAGGTGTCTGGCCTCTGAGAGTCTTCTAAGTACCCAGCCACTCCCCTGGCCAGAGTCTGGCGCTCTCTCTATCAGATGGTTTTATTTTCCACCTTCCTGTTGTAATTCCGGATTCCAGTTATCCAATAAGCTTGGATATGGTGCTTTCCCAAATGTTCTAGCTTTTCTGCTTTATTTTTTATCAGAAGGGTTTCTAGTTTGTCTCTCCAAATTAGGGAGATGGTCTTTGATGTCTTGGATATGATGGGCAGTCTTATGTGTCAACTTGGAGCGACTGAGGTCATAGGGCCATGTTAACAGTTCTCCATGTCTTCGTTATACTTTCTAAAGGGTTTTCTGCTCTTACGAGTCTTTCTAAATTTTTTTGTTTTAATTTCACATGTGGCTCTTCTACATAGGTAATTTTTATATTAGTTAACAAAAATTACATTCTCCCTAAAAAATCCTCTGTCTTTGAGGCAGGTACAGCATCCTCTCCTTTCCGCATGAGTAAGTCCCATGTAGGACCCCTCTACCCAGTCTGCTTCCTGAGGGAACATGTCCAAATGGGGTTAGTACTTAGGCCTGGTCCTCTAAGAATGCCTTTTAAGAATTCAGGGTAGCAGGAGAGAGTTTCAAGGAAAATTTTTGGAGAAACAAGAATGAATCAAGTGTGTAAGAAATATATTAATTCTACTGAAGATTAAGATTTTTTTAAAATTTAGGAATAATAAACATAGCACTGAACAAACATTAAAACTCTATAACTTAAAAAAGTGTTTTTAGGTTTTGCACAAATGTGCTCAATGCCATACAAAATTAGTTAGATAGACCCAGAGGAACAAAGGTTAAAAAAAAAAAAAAGCACATGTTTATGTTGGTTAAGGATATGGAACTAAGGAAGTTCCTGTAAATTTTGGTAGATTCCAATTAACCACAGTGAATAAAAAAGAAAACAAAATTTCTTTTTCCTTAAAACATATTGTTCTAAGTCAATTAAGAAGTAAAGCAATAGTTTCTTAGTTTTAGAGCCAATATGCTTTGGAGATGAAATGGAAGAATTTAGAATGAGACCACAGAAGTTTAAAAAGACATTTATTTAAAAGATAGTAATAAACTTTGTGCTATATACATGAGGTCATCCGAATTCCTTCATGTGTTTAAAGTATCCTCAGTAATGCCTGGCAAGTCAAATGTGACCAATAACTGTCTTCCTCTTTCCCTCCCCTCTTTCCTTCTGGACTTAAAGATATGCTCAGACCAAAATGGAGAAAAGATACTTAATGCTATTAATGCTAACCAAGCATTTTCAAGATGTACTTTTCTCTTTTTAGGAATCAAAGTGAAAAAGAAGAAAGGGAAAAACATGGAAAGCTATGGTACATAATAGAGGTCTGAGAACTCTTATAAATTATGATGTACACAGTAACAATAGTATTATATCGTAAAAAGTTATGTAACCATTAAAAGTTCTTATGAGGGTAGATCTCAAGAGTTCTCATCATAAGGTAAAAACTTTTCTTTTTTACTATATAAGATGATGAATATTAACTAAACTTGTGGTAATCATTTCACAACATACGTAAGTCAAATCATTAAGCTGTACACCATAAACTTATACAGTGCTGTATGCCAATTATATTTCAATAAAACAGAAAAAAGGTATATAACCATATTGAACAATGATTTATTGCACAAGCAACAAAGAGTAGTGGTTCTTTTTCTCCCAAATAATTCTTTTGGTGAAAATAAAATAATTTAACATAAATATATACAGATGAGGAACTAGCAGGATTTTTGAGAGCTATAGAAAGACAGAAAAATAGGCAGACACATGTGTTCAGGGCCAAAAACCAATTTTACTTCTAACTCCTGAGATTACTGAATGTGTTTAGTCTGAGTTCCAGTTTTCCCTATAAAATTGGGCAAGTTGATTGCTAACTATCTGTCCTCCTCTAAAATTCTATGATTTAAAATTTTTCTTTTGTGAGGTACTTTTTTAAGGTTACATTAGCTTCAAGGCTGTTATTCAACAAAAGCAGAGCATACCATTTCAGAAAGTATTTATGCATATACACTACACAGTTCCCACATCAAGCAACTGGTATTAACTGAATTATTCAGTTAATTCAGTGAAAGGGCATATTAAATAAACTAATGTATTTCCACACATCTTCATATTTTTAGCCAATTACAAGAAGATACATCACACCTATAATTTTGATGACTGAGAATTTTGATTCTCTATAAGAGAACTCAGCACTAAAATCCTAGAGTACAGCTTACCTTGAGGCCCCAGGTTTGACTCCCAACATGTCCCAACTGTCTTTACTGTTTCGAATTCTGCGAATGGTGTCTGCTTGTTCTTTGGTGAAACTAGCACTGTTATTTGTAATAGGACGTTTCCCGCCATTTTCACATAAATCAACTATGGATGCATAAAAGGTCTGTGAAAAGAAAACATCTCAGAGTAGAACTGATTTTGTGAAAATAGGAATTCCTTTTAAGCATCAACTTAAACAATGTTAATATAGTCCTATAACTTAAAATTCATAATAAAGCAAATATTTCAGAAGTAAAGGAAAATATGATCAAAGAATTAAAGGAAAATATACTCTTAATCAGTGAACAGATAGAGAACTCAGCAGAGAACTGGGAACTACACAAAAGAACCAAATGCAAATTCTAGAACTGAAAAGTACTGAATTGAAAAATTCACTCAGTTGATTTAACAGCAGATTGAAGTCAAACCAATAGAGACTATGCAATCTGGAAAACAGAAAAAATTGAATAAAAATAAACATAGCCTCAAGGGCTGTGGGACAAAACCAAAGGTCTAATATATACGTAGCTGGAATCACAGAAAGAAAAAACAGAATAGGGGGAAGAGAGACAGAGAGGCAGACAGAGAGAGAGAAATGTTTTAAAAACTTCCAAAATTTGATGAAAAACACCTGCCTACCAATCCAAGCGACTCAACAAATCCTAAGTAGGGTAAATATAAAGAGAACCGCGCCTAGGCACATAGCACAACTACTGAAAACCAAAGATAAAGAAAAACTCTTAAAAGTAGCTGGAAGGGGAAAAAAGGCATATTATATACAAAAGAATAAGGGTAAGAATGGGTGCTAACATCTCATCAGACACAACAGAGGCCAAAGAAGAATGGACTAACATCTTTAAAGTGCTGATTTAATCTGAACAGTTATTATTTATAATTCTTGGACAAATTACTACTCTTAGGTGTCCTCATATCTGAAATGAGAATAATACCTGCCACATATTGTTAAGAGTCTCAAATGAAATGAAATATGTAAACTCCTCCAGAATTGTAAAATACTATTCAAATGGTTAAGTATTATTATTATTGCACATATATAGGTACAAACTCACATAGGTCTACGTACTCAAAAGAATACAAAGGTGGCAAACCAACACTCAACCTTATTTGGTCTTGAAATAGAAGCTACTGATGCCCAATTTAGTCTGTCAGCCAAGGATGAAAGCTGTCTTCTAATAGGAGTGGTGACAGCTTGTGAAAAGGAAATTCAGCATAAAAGATTACATAAAATCCCACTCAATAATTAAGAACAACTCTTTATAGGATAGCTATATTATTTGAAATACTAAAAATTCCCCCAAATATCAGATATATTCATAAGAAAAAATGCAATATTCATGCCACCACTTACTTCCTAACGTATCTATAATTAAGAGTTGACTTGACTTCATAACTTAGTTTCAATAGTTTCCTCCCCTTAAAATTATTCAAGATTAGTAAGTTTTAAAATGTGACCATCTCTTCATGTTCCAATATGAATACACCTTCTATTGCCTGCTTGATTGGTGAGACCTAATTTTTGTGTGTGACTGGCTGGATTCTGCAGTGATAGTCTCCTCTTCTCTAATTGCACCCTCATGGGTGACAATATAGGAGTATAGTAGCTATAACAGGGCAATTCTGCCAAAGCAACGCTTCCATTTGATTATGCATGCCTTTGGTTACAAATGTAACCAAAGGTAGTTTTAAAGAAAATGTTTGTCCCAGTTAAGTGTATAATAACTGTTGTTAAACTGTTGTTAAACAAAAGTGATGATAACTTGATAATCATCAGAATCACCTAGAGAGCTTTTTCACAACATTAAGCTTCCAGTAGGTTTAGAATCCAGCAAGCTGTATTTTGAAGAATTTCCTCCAGGTAATTCTGATGATCAGCCAGGTCTGGTCTAAAATAGACAGCAGACAGCTATCACACATACACACATACTCACATTCATATTGTTTCTCTTTCTCTCACCAGCTTCTGAAAAGAGCTTATTTTAATGAGAAATTCCTATTACTTTTTTGCTTCTCATAATTTATACTAAAATTTGTCATGGGCAGCCTTGACACAAACTCTAAAACAACAAAATGCTAGGTTACCTGGAACATCTCATTAATTCCTTCTCCAGTTTGTGCTGAAGTCTCAAAGTACAGGAACCCTTTGCTTTCGGCCCAAAGGCGCCCTTCACTTTCATCGACACAGCGGTGCTTGGCACAGTCAATCTGAAATAGGAAGTTGAGGGGCAGAGAAGATTCCAAACTTGTCCCACTAGAAAAGGCCCAATGAGGTCTTTATCAATCCTTTATTGAGGTAAGTACTATTCTTAAATGAACCCCAGCACTAGGACATAGAATTTTCAGGACCAAAAGGGACAAAAAAATTACTAATATTGAATGTGGACTGATTTTCCGTGGCAACAAGTGCCTATTACCACACTTCCAACTTTATCCCTTGAGTAAACTGCTGCTATTCACCTCTGTGAAAGTCGGCTTCATAATGCTTTTTGCTGCACTCACAGGGCTACGGGTCTGCTTTTCATACCTTCTCATAGCCAACCTTTCTCCTAATTACTGCCCCTCCTCCAATCAGGTCAGAGTGTGATAATTAGGCTCCACCTCTCCTGCCCAGTCAGCACTATGGTTCCCCAAGTATGGCACCAGAAAATGGATGAAAATCCTGATATACCCGGTTTTGATTTTTTATTGTTCTTGTTGTAGGGACATGTTTTTAAAAGGTGTTGATTTTTATATTACTGAATAAGAAATTTTTCTTTTTATTTGTTCCTAAAAACTCAGAGCTGTACTATTCCCATAATAAATCTAGAAAGTTGAGCCTACCATTTCCAAAGCAGTTACCTTGTTGGCACACACTACAAATACAATATTTTCCATGTTTCCGTGAGGTCCAAGATCTTGCTTCATTTCTGCCAGCCATGCATCAAGGGCATCAAAGGTGTCTTTCTGCCCAACATCATAGACCAGTATCACACCCTGTGTGTCCTTGTAAAACTCATTGCGAACCTTCACATAAAAGAACAAATGCACAAAATCTAAAATAGTAAGCTTCGAGAGGTTGGGGTTGGGCTGTGACTTTACAAAAACACATCTCACAGTCATCAACTTAGCAAAGTATGTTCTTTTGTATATTCATAATATTTGCTGCCATATCTTAATATCTGCTGGCCATTAGGGGACTTTTTATAAAATAAAAGTAACATGATAAAAAATAAATCTGTCAGTACAGAAGGACTTGTAATGGAAACAATAGCCTCCTGCCCTTCCTCACTTCCAGTTCCACTCCCCAGAGGCAATCCATCTTTAATTGTTGTTAGTAGACCTTAAAAGAACACAAATTACGTAGAGTCCTTCATGGGGAGAACTTGGAAGGTGAGTGAACAATTAAAAAAAAACTTAAGGCAAAAATGACACAAATATCAGCAATAAGCACAGCCATTTATATATCACATCCCAAAGTTGGCTTTTCCCAGGACGCGAGGCAGAGCTTTCCTGTGAGTCTAGGGTCTCTACACCAACGTTAGAACTCCAAACACAGAGCCTCAGTGTAATGTAGTGGAAAGAGCACGGGCTCTGGAGCCAGACAGATCTGGGTTCACACTTACTTACTAGTTGTGTGATCTTGGGCAAGTCACTTAACCTCTCTGCGCCTCAGTTTCCTCATCTGTAAAATGGGGATAATACTACTTACTCCACAGGGTTATGATGAAGGTTAAATAAGATAACGAAGGCAAAGCACCTAATGGTGCCCGGAAAACAATGTGTATTAGCACCTTCTCCCTTCCTTCCTTGCATCCATTCTCTGATTATCCTCCTTTGATGCTTTCATTAGAAATGGCAGCTCACCTCTGGGGCATCTCTACAATTCTGGGAAGAGGCAGCACGAAGCGCAGGGCACACTAGAGCAGCAGAAGCAATGACAGGTTGAATGCATGAGAAGCAGCATTGACGGATTTGGGGTTTCAGTGACAGGCCATGTATTAGATTCTTTTCTTTACAAAGCATTCCAGTATGTATTTAGACTCACACTGAAGTGTCTATAATTTTCTAAGCATAGATACCTGGACCAAGAATGTAAGTGCCTGTTTATTTGCAGAAGCATAAGATGCTATCATCTGAAACTAAAACCAACAACATCAGAAAGAATTTAAAGTGATGGAAGACCCTTCACTTCTGGCTCTCAGTACCCATGGCCCTTAGCCCTTCTGCAGCAGTAAAAATGGGGCTCTCTCTTCTTTCCTGGGACTCTGGCTGCCTTGGCTCCCCTACACCACATCCCCCAGGCTCTTAACTGAACCCATCTCTCCACTGCTCCCACTCTAGCCTGCCACCGTAATTCCACAAATCCTGTCCTGGTGCCTCTTCTTTTCTCTTTTCCTTCTTCCCATCTCAGCCACATCAACCACCGTCACAGTCTCAACTGTGAGAACCTCTGGGATGAGCCCTTTCATCTCTACCTCCAGACCTGCATTTCCAGTTCGCTCTAGACTCTTCCAGCTGAATGTCCTGATGGAACCTCAAGTTCAACATGTACAACAGGAAACCCTCCGACCTATTCCTCCCTAAACTCTTCCTTTTCTTGAACGTCTAGTGATGAAAGTAGCCCACCGTTCTCTGTCACTGGGTTGAAAGCCTGGTGCTAAGTTTTGCCGCTTTCCTCTGCCTTTGCTCGGCAGACTCAAACAATCCTGCAGAAGCCACCTCTACCACAGTTCTTGGACCTGTCACTTGCTTTCCATTTTTCATCGCCAACATTATGTCTTGAATAAACTACTGCAAGAGTCTTCTAATTAACCTCCCTAGCAACATTATACACCATGCACATTTATCTTTTAAAGCCCTGGCTCAAAAATTCTTTATTATTTCCCCACTGCCAACACCCCAAAGTTCAAATTCTTTAAATTGATGTTAAAAGTTTCTGATCAATCCTCCGCCTAGTCCCTTGTACTTCAAACCGGATAATCTCTCATTCCCAGACCTGCCATGTGCCTTCCTAACTCCATCTGGAAACAGGCACCTCTTTATCAGCAATCTCTCAAGGTCTAGCTATAAGACTGTATCTTTCATGTAGTCCCCACCATCTAACTCCCTACCCCTGTCAGACAGAATGTCATTTCTATGTCCCCTGGAATACCACAGCATTGTGTACCTCTAACCCAAGGCAAGCAGAAGGAGGGAAATAATAAAGATAAGAGCAGAAGTGAAATGCCCAAATTGGAAAAGAGCAGAAAGCCTCCTTAGGGAAAATGAAAAACCCAAGGAAGGAAAAACAAAAGGGAATGGCCACGAGATTCATTATGAGACTACTTAGGACTGATAAACAGGTGAAAGTAAACCAAGTGGGCTTCTCTCTGGGGAGAGAACTCATATGGCTGAGGAGTGAACTGGAATGATCAAACACCCTGCTATGAAAGAAGTCACTTTCCTGAATTCTTAAATCTTAACATGAATGTAATTATCCTTCCATGTTTGGGGGTGAGGTATAGAGTAAAAAGCAACAGTCCTTGGAAGGTAAAAATGTCTTACACCAGCTACATTTACCTATTTTTACAGATGATATGAATATTGGTTCTTTCAGATAATTCAGGATCTTTCCCTAAACCACTGACAATACTGGATATAGGTTTTCTCAGAAAAGCCTTTCTTACCTCATAGAAGAAGGGGTGTCCAGCCATATCAAAGATGTTAACTTTGATTTCCCTGTCTCTGACTTGTACCCTGAAATGTTCAAATAGAAAAAAATACCAAAGAAGGTCATGGTTTCTGCATTCACATGATAGCATTTATGTCATTTATGAATTTCAAAAGGGTATGTGTGTGAAATTTAAGAGGCTTCTTAGTGCCTCTTCTAGATTCCAGATAATCTTTACAATAGGAGCCAGCAACTTGGCAGATAATCCTGCCTCCTTGTTTTAATAACACTCAACTCACTTGGAATAAACACCCTCATTCACCTTCAACTTGCCTCAAGACACTCAGTCCACACCCCTTAACTAACAAATGGTGGCTATTACTACGGTACTAAGAAAAATTGATTTGGGACAAGTAAGAGCGAAGTGAAGGAAAAGAAAATGTTTTATTTCCCTTAGTAAGACATCGTATTTAATACTAGTTATGCTTGGTTACCATGCAGAACAATAACAAAGATGTATATTATTAACAATACCTATTTAATTTTCTTGTGATCTTCACTGGAGCAATAGCAATAGTCAATTTCTTTTCAGAAATTTGAAAATAAAGAAAAAAGGAAAATAACAACCATTTATATTAGAATGAACTACTGTTAACATCATAGCATATTTGGTTCTAGTCCTTTTCTTTTTTAATGAAAAATCACTCCTGAAAAATGAATGAACAAAAACATTATAAATAATTCAAACACAAAGATATAAGTTTAAAATTTATCCCAAATCCTATCACCCAGAAAAATACCTTCATTAAATAGATGAACTGCAGACTTCTTTCTATGCACAGATAAGACTAATAAACAAATATTTTAATAAAATGGGATTATTCTATTTAAAAATAAAAAGCTTAAAATTTACTTTTAATTGAATTTAACAACAACAACAAAAAATTGAAGTGAACTTGGAGGAATTATTGAGCTTTACATATAAATGTGTCCTCGCCACAGAAATATTATTTCCTAAAATATTCCTCTAAGGTTAAAGAATAGAGATTGTTAACAATTAATTAAAAGATTAGAGTCTTTTTCTTTTTTAAGTAACATATTTCAGTTTTAGACAGCAATGATAGGACTCTCTCCTGTGGAATACAGGACATCAGCACTTGCTCTCATTGTCCCTAAACCATTTTCTGGTTTATTTATTATTATTATTCTCTGTCCAAATTTATAACATCCACTTTCAGTTCTGAAACCATAATTCCCAGCTGTTTGATATTACTTGCATATTTAAATCAAACTAATCATTTTATCATGATCTCTTCACTGCTGAATTCTCCACCATATTTCATCAGGTCTAAGATGCACATTTGTGAAATCAGAATCCATCTTACAAGAGAGTGTGAGAACAGCAAAACAAAACAAAATCATTCACAGAGTTTGACAGCATCTGGAGACGATCTGGTAAAATACTTTATATTAGAAAATTTTACCTTATAAGAGATAGCCTCTGAGAAGGGACGGAACTGCAGTCTATAAAGTCGGGAAGTGACACAAATGTTGTTCACAATGAAACTCAAAAGAGGTCAATTTAATTCTGAAGCCAGACAAAATTACCTTAAGAAAAATGGTAATTCATTACCTCAAGGCAGTGCTTTCCTAAATTATGGCCTGAAGACCACCTGCATCATAATTATGGGGAGGGGGGGTTGTTCAAAAGGCAGATTCCTGGGCCCCACCTCAGACCCAGTGATCAGAACCATAGTGAGTCCTAGGAACCTGCATTTTGACAAACTCTCCAAGTAATTTTTAAGCATACTGAAATCTGAACTTCCCTATATTGAAAACATCTATTATTTTGATAGGCCAAGAGAGCACCCCCCCCAACCCTTTCTCCCAATTGTGGTTCAAATGGGCTGTGCCATCTCGTTAGTGATCCCACTCTACTGGCCACAGCTGAGCTGGGGAAAGGTGCCTGTCCCCACCTGGCAATCAAAACCTTCCCTGGGATTTTTAAACTTGGAATACTAGTTTTGGTCCCTCTTTGGAAGTAAAATTTACAATGTGAGCCTGAGAGCTCTGGAAGCTGGATAAAGAAAACCAAAAGGGGGGTCGGGGAAGAGAGAGAGAGAGAGAGNGAGGGTGCCTTGAACCAAGAACATTTGGGAAAATTTGACCTAACCCACAGTTCATATTGAAATTTCACCATTGGTCCCAATAATATCCTTTGTAATTATGTTCCCCACCCTCTCATCTCTCACCCCCTGGTCTGGAGTCTAATCTAGCATCATTTAGTTGTCATGTATCTTTAGTCATCTTTTATCTGGTATGGTTCCTCAGCTTTTCTTTATCTTCCAAAATGACAAGTTATTTTTAGAATACTCCCCGTTTTATGTTTGGCATATTCTTGTGATTAGATTCTGTTGTATTTGGCTGGAATATCACAGAGAAGACATAATGTCCTTTTAAAGGCACCATTATCACAAGGTTGGTGATGTCAATTTGTTCCATTTATTAATGATGTTAACTTTAGTTGGTTAAGGTGTAAGGCAGTGTTCACTAGATTGGTAAATTGAGATTTTTCCTTTGTAATAGGTAATTTGTAAGAGGATATTTTGAGATTACGTAGATATTCTTCCTTCACTGAACTTTCGCCCACAAATTTTTAGAATTCAATGATGATTCATGGCTAAAGAAATCATTACCAGGATGGATGCAAAATGGTGATTTTCTAACTCCATCATGCCTCCTACATTTATTACTTGGTCTTCTACGTTAAGGGAGAGCTTTCCTTTCTCATTCATTCATTTATTAATCTATATCAGTGTGGACTCATATGCTTATTTTAATCCATGAATATTGTGGGATTACTATTATTTATTTTGATACTCAAGCTGGCTCTTATGTCTTTTTGATATGTCACCACCATTTTTTGAGCGCTTCCTTGCTTTCTGGCACAACGGGCCCTGGTTCCCTAAGTCCTTTGGTGGAGAATGGTATTTAGAAACCAAGATCTGGGTGCTAGGTGTGCTCATTATACTAGGGTGTCTGCTTTGGGCCCTTTTAGTTGAATGAGCCAAAGAAATACATTTACATACATGCATGTCTATAAATATCCATGTATTAAAACATAGTTTATACTGATACCCCTAATTCATTTTAGTACAACAGGATTCATTCTAGTCTTCTCCCTTTCCATGTTCATAACTCCCCTCTTCAACAGTGAGAAACCTGGCTGTCATTATCCTCAATANTGAAGAACAAAACGACAGCAACTTGTCTGTTCCCCTTCCCCTAATTCCCCAGTACTGTTCCCATCCCCCCAATTACCCAATAAAAATCTTAAAAAAAAAAAAAGTGATAAAGGTGATATTTAAAGTCAATAGGAAAAGAATGATTTGTTTGGTAAAATGCTACTGACACAATTGATTATCCAACTGGAAAAAGTTAAGTTTTGTCTTAACTTCCCTATAGACAAAAATAAATTACAGATGAGTTTATGATTTAAGTATCTAAAAAGAAAACAATAAAAATTTCAGAAGAAAATGTGCAACCTCAAGGAAAGCTTTTAAACCAAGATAGGAAACCCAGAAACCATAAAAGACAGACATAATTGAGTATGTATAAACAATAATAAAAGCAATTGTATGGTAAATAGCTATAAAAATATTAAAAGACAAATAACATATTTGGGCAAATATTTGTAACTAATATGACTGGTAAAAATTAATATCTCTAATGTCCCCAAACCATAAAAATTGATAAGACATATCCCCCAACAGAAAAATGGGTAGGGAGTATAGATTGGACAATACACAGAAGAGTAAATCCAAATACCCAACGAGCATATGAAAAGGTGCTCAAGTTCATCTATAGTCAGTGAGATGCAAATTAAAGTAACAATGAAATTATTTCTCACTAACCAGATTGGTAGTAGTAATTAAAAGAATGACAACACTGGTTGTTGTCAGGGATTTCGGGAAAAGAGTACCTAAATACTGCTGGTGGAGATACGCACCTTTTTGAAAAGCAACTGGCAATAGCTACTAAAATTTTAAAATGTGCTCTTCAACTCAGCAGTGCTACCCCTGGGAATCTAGTCCATAGAAATTAGAGTACCAGTATTTAAGAATACATATACAGACATATCTCAGAGATACGGCAGGTTCGGTTCCAGACCACTGCAATAAAGCCAATATAGCAATAAAGCGAGTCACATGAACTTTTTGGTATCCCAGTGCATATAAAAGTTATGTTTACACTATGGTCTATTAAGTGTGCGATGGCATTATGTCTAAAAAAACACAAGGTACATATCTTAATTAAAAAATGCTAATCATCATCTGAGACTTCAGCGAGTCATTAAGTTTTTGCTGGTGGCCTTACCTTCAATTTGTAAAAAATACAGTATCTCTGAGGTGCAATAAAACAAGGTATGCCTGTATGTGTACACACACACACACACACACACACACACATACACACACACACAAGGGTATTTATTGCAACATTGTTTGTAGGAGGGAAAAGAGCTGGAAACAAAGTGAATTCTCATCAACAAAGGGAATACTTGCCTATCATGAGCTATTATGCAACCAGAAAGAAGAGTGAATACAAGTATTGGGTTGTCGGAAAAGTCATAACTTATGTTTGCGACAGATGGCACTAGTTCATTTTTGGAAGTACTGGAGTCATTTGCATCTATATTATTGCTGTCATTTGACAGCTGACAGTTCTAGCTTCATTCTAAAAAAAATTGAGCGATTTGGCTGAGTTTTCCAGATTTTACAGCAAGTTGAAGATGGAAGAACAAACTGTGCATTTTTGCCATATTTTACTGTTTTACTTCCATAAAGGGAAGAACGCATGTCAAGCTTCTGAAAAGTTGCATAAAGTTTAGGATGACAATGCTCTACAAGAACGTCAGTACCAACGATGGTTCATGAAATTCCATGCTGGTGGTTTTGATCTCAACAACACTCCTCAGTCAGGGAGGCCCACCGAGGTTGATGACAACAAAATAAAGGCATCGATCGAGTCAAACCCATGTCACACAACATAAGAGGTTGCAGAAACATTGAACATCCATCATTCA